GTATTCGGTAACCTCTACTTGGGAGATAAAAATCGGCCGATTTTATTTTTTAGCCGGAAATCATCGGTCGTTTCTTAGGCGCAGGGCCTCTTAATTAGGAGGTTGGAACAAAAACTTTTACTTTGTCATGATATTCCTGCAGGCTATTTCTATTTTATAATTTTTGTTGTTTTCCTTGCAGAAATCTTGCCCAGAATGAACTTTCTCACATTGATGTGACAACATTTGCCCATCTTTCAACATTACAGAGACTGTAAGTGTTGAGTAGTATCTGTGTAAGGCTTGTATACTTAGCTTGCTTATTTGGCAGCTTCTTTGCTGATGGAGGTTCAACTACATGTACGTATGACAAACAACGACGCTTATTTTGCAGAAACCTGGGCAGTAACCGTATTTATCACATGGCAGAGGGGGCATTTGCTGACTTAAACTCCTTAGTCATGTTGTAAGTCTGTATATTATAATTGTTAAAAGTTTACACCGTGATATTTGTTGGGATCTTCTATTTTGTTTCATTTCTTTCCTTCCTTTTCTGTTTCAGGGGTGAACTATTTACTTAGTGGTGAATTTACTATCAAATCAGAATAGAGTTTGTAATAATGTATTGGCAATGTTAATGTTTGTTCTATCCAAAGAAATAAATTTGGGAACACATGTTGTTCAGATTTTGCTATCATTATGATGCCTGTCGTGAATGCAAAGGCAATTAATCACAAATTGAAAATTTTGACTGAATTGATTCTAAGCTTGGTTTAAAATGACAAAATGTGGCTTGTAAGAAATACACTGTATGTTGTTTATGTTGGTTGACGGAAATAACCCCTGAAATGCTTGGTATCTTATAATTATTTTACTTGCTTGCACATCAGGGACCTGAGCAATAATGCGCTTTCATCAACAGTAGAAGGAATGAATGGAGCTTTCACAGGGCTTCAGAAGTTAATCATGTTGTGAGTACTTTGGTTTATTTGTGTTAGGTTTGCTGCCATTGAGTTATTGAATGTATCATTACAACAAGATCATTGTGATATGTTGGGCCAGAATAATAGTTTTAAATTAACTTGGTACATGTATTTCCTATTGTACATGTACTATAGCTCATAAACTGTGTAAACCACGCATCAAAATGTTCAGGACTATTCCTTGATGAAGTAACTAGTAAAATGATAGGAAAATTCCATTACTAATTAAAAGAAGCAGAACAGTTTCACAATCAGGATGACTCCTGCCAAAGTTGTTGCTTTGGAGGTCTCCTTAAATCACTATAATCATGACACATAAGGTCTATTCACTCCTTTGTTTCATCTCAAGAATCTTCTTGAATTTTTTGGCCTTGAAAAGCTCACCATACCTACAACTTTATAAAATAAATCAGGAATCAAATCCATCAAGCATCATTGCACCCACCCTGTTGACATGGCCACAACGTCGATGTAGATGTTACTATGGCTTGGCATTTTGTATTATGTATTCATTTCATTTTAATGACAGCATGTGTGATTTGTTGGTGATAAGAAATCTAAGCCTGTCTAACATAATGTGCTGTGTTTCCTACTTTGCAAGTTTCCTTGGGAGATATAAAATGATTTAAGAATATATCTTTTTCAGGAGACTTGATGGAAATCGTATCACCTGGATAGCTGCTAATGCATTTTCTGGACTAAAAGCCATGCAAAGTTTGTGAGTATATTTGCTGCCCGTAGAGGGCAGCCTCCCTTTTCTGTGTTGATATCTCGCCTTGAGATTGTCTGTTTGTAGGCAGTTCTAAGGCCCCACTGTGTAGAAATCTGCAAATCTGTGACCTCGTGCTTGATCGTTCATACCTTGTACGTTATAGCGAAATAATATACGTTGAAGGGAAGTTTTTTACTGAAATGGTACGTTACTCAGTAGCTTGTCATGTTAGGTGTAAATTTAAGTATTTCAGGAAGTATTCATCAAGGTAGGGAATGTTTTAGTGATTAATCAAGAGGAAGACAATGTTCTTTCACGAGTCTCACCGTGTGGCTGTTCCATGAGTATTGCCCATGCAGCAAGGTAAACAGACTGATTGAAATTATAATTTGCCCAACAAGGCAAATAAAACAAGTGAATTGCCCAGCAAGGTGAACGAGCTGAATTCTAATTTGCCAAACATGACGAATAACACAAGAGAAAATTTTTGGCCTGGGAGCCAGGCGAACAAATTGAATTCTAATTTGCCCAGAGGCAAATGAAACAAGCAAATTACCTAAGGAGGCAAACAAACGGAATAACAATACTTAAATTTACACTTGACATGACAAGCTACTCAGTAACTTACCATTTTTGTAAAAACAAAATATCTATCACGTTTTGATAACAGTTTATCAAAAATGATAAATAAATTTGTCATTATTGAAAATTATTTCATCAGCATTTATTGCAAGTGCTAGACATCTACAGTGTTATTTATTGTCAATATACAGTTTTTACTGTCCATGTTACATGAGTGTTTCAACTAAACTATCTATCACATTTGATAGCAGTTTATCAGAAGAATAATGCTGATTATATTATTGACAATTATTTCATCAGAATTTGTTGTAAGTAATACAAATCTACAAAGAGTCAAAAAAATCAAATGTACCAGTAAAAAGAAATTGTTTGAGTTACATGTAAACATTACCCTTGTCTGTTTGGGTTTGTTAGATACTAATCCGGTTAAAATAAGTGAGTGCAAAGCTGTAAAAACTTGTACCTTAAGAAGGAAAACAAGGTTTAAATAAAAACTACAATAGAATTCAATTTCAAACTTGCTTATTTCTATGACATTAATGTACTGCAAGTGAATATATGAAATATATTGCGGGTATATTATGGGTACATTACGGGAATATTACGAACTCACAGCATGATCAGCTCTCAGTTGGCTTGATAGCTCAGTTGGTAGAGCACTGCACTGCTATTGCAGAGGTCATGGGTTCGAATCCTGTTCAGGCCTGAATTTTTTTCATTTCCAATATGGAACCACTAGTTATTATCACTAATCAATATGCAATCTTCCTTAGAAAAAGTTTGCAAACTTGTCCAAAAAATTCAAACAAAGTTGTAAAAAAGACAGCAATGAAAACGTTTGGCTCAATCTGTGCACACCTTCAAAGGACCAAAGCAATATTATTCCCCTGGTATCCACTGATCAAGCAAGTTCATCCGTGGTTTCCATACAGATATTTCTCTAAATGTGATGAAAACACAAGTTTACATCATACAGGTAATGTAAATCTCAAATTGTAGTGTGACCGTTATGCTATACATACTATTCTTTTTTCAGGAATCTTTCTGCAAATATCATAACATCTATTGAGAAGAATGCCTTCCTGGAAATGGAGAATCTTCAGTACCTGTAAGTAGGCTTTAGTTATGGCTACACAAGGAAATTTTGCATGCATGAGCATATTATTTCACAGGGTTCTGGATCAATAAGTTTTTAAGGCAGGGTGTCAATAAGGAATTCCAGTGGGTCAATTGCCACTGATCCCACCGAAATAATCTTTATAAATTTTTTCTTAATTTGTTGGGTCATGCAGCTGATCTTGTTGGGTTTTTGACCTGAGTCCCCTCACTTCTCTGGAATGCTGATTTAACTTTGATATTAAAATAAATACAAGAACAGAGAACTGTCGCCTGTCGTTGTCAATCATATAAATGGATGTGAAAATTTGAAACCATTGAAATTTAACTGCAAGATTTTATTACAGTTCGTTTGTGTAAGTCTTGACTCTTCAAACTGTGAGGAAAATTAATTCCATGCCTATTTTTTTGATGATTGATGCTTGAGATCACATGAGGACCTGCAATGGACTTCTAAAATGTGGAACTTGTGGTTGTAATTAGTAATTAGGGTTCTGTTTTTGGTAACAGATATTTAAACACAACACACCTTCTTTGTAACTGTGAACTCAGCTGGCTTCCTGTCTGGATTGAGAGTAAACAGTTCAAGTCAAATGTACGTGCTCTCTGTCTTCACCCTAAACAACTGGAAAGAAGAAGTATCTTCAACCTTACCTATTCAGAATTTGTTTGTGGTAAGTGGTGAAACAGTTATGACTGGTAACATGTTTTGCTTCTCTGGACCTCTATAAAAGGGCCTCAGTTGTTCATGTTTCTTGAATACATAAGGGGCGCTGACATTATACACCACCAAACAAGTGCAATAAATGTCTAGCCCCCCCCCCTCTTCCTCACACACTAGCTCCCACATGTGTAAGAAATAAGGAGAGGCTCAAATACTTAACCAGTGTTGTCAGCGGACACCAACCAGTTGTCACCAGTCTTAGCAGACTTAATGAGGGACCACCTACACACACACACACACACCCACCTATCCACACACTCAACCAGACTAAACGAGAGACTACATTTACCTTCAGTTATTTACATACTTGCCCACCCGTCTGCCAAAACTTTACCTCAGGGTAATGTATCTGATCCACAGATGAGAGTGATGCTAAACCAGAGATAATAATACACCCAGAAGGGCATAAAGTGCTCCTAGGTCAGAACGTTACACTGCGGTGTGTTGTCTCACAGAAGAATCATACTATCAGGGTCAACTGGACTAAAAACAACAAGCCATTGGCGGGGGCTTACATCATAAACCATGCCAAGGTGAGATGTTAGCTTGTGTGATAGGCATTAACGTGTTGATGAATTCCTCTGAACCCAGCTTGCTACCCTGTGGTGGCAAAAATAGTTTACTTGTGAGAATACAAGATGTAACCTAAGCAATCATGTTTTATCTTGACCATACTGTCACCGTTAGGCTTAGTTTTCAATTCAATTCCCAGTCTCCATCAACTTGCAGATACTTGTTTTCAATTTCATAACAACCGCTGGAAAAGGCCCTCCCCTACTATCAATCATACTTGATAGACTAGCATCCCACAGTGTATCCACTGTACTTGTAGGAGTAGCAGTGCTGGTCCTTGTTTCAAAGCCCAGTGTCAGTTTTGATCAGCCAGTAAGCTTAATCTCAGTCTTATGTACTTCCATGTATTCCTGTACAGTCCAAAGATGGAGAAACAGCAACATACACCAGTGAGCTAAACCTGGTATCAGTGACAGATAAAGACAATGGATATTATCAGTGTGTGGCATCCAATCACTTCACACCTGTCTCATCTAAAATGGCGCACATCACAGTGTTAGGTTAGTGTCAAACCTGCAAGTAAACAACCTATTTTCTCCTGATGTTGTAGTGACTTATTTACAGTTCAGTTTTAAGTGAAATGACAGTTTACTACCATACATGACTAGCTCTGCTGGTGGCAGCAACAATTAAACACTGCACTTTGATTGGCTGCCCAGACAGGCAAGATGGGGCTGTCTTTCCCAGGGTTGTCACTAAGCGCCGGCTGCCAGCGAAATTTGTCAGCAGAGAAAGAGGTGATCGAAGGTGAAAGAGGTTTTTCGGTTGCGCTAACGCACGTACAATCATTCAAATCTGAACCATATCGAACCGTCTAAATGAAAAGTTTGGAATCAATTCCTGACTACCATGAGCATCGGTGCCACCATAACAAGTAAAAAAATTGAAATTTAGTCTTGTTTGGAACACTTGTTTAGCGTGTTCTCTTTCCATGTACTGCGTCTGCCATCTTGTAAACATGAAGCTTGGTAACCCCGCATTCAAGGTATTGCAAAAGATTGGAGACAAAAATTTTGTTTAAGGTCCCTTGTGAAAAATGGTGACCGGTTCAATGAAAATCATAGCCAGTAGACTAAGTTTCTTAGCTACAACCCTGCTTGCTCACTCCGAATAACAAACACAGACTGATTTCCAACTACCTGATTCCAGAAATGCAATGAGAACTGTTGCACTACTTTGGTTTCCTTACATTTGAGGCAAACTTCAAAACATTTCTTGGGCAAATCCCTGGTAATCCTTTTTTCTTGCTAGCTACACACGTCCAACAAATTTCATCTGTACATTAGTTCACCATCACAAACTCTTCCTTGTGAAACTGAGTTTGGTGTGAATGTTAAGGAAGTTAAATTAATTCAAAGGGTTAGGTCATTTGATGTTTGTAATGCTAGCACAATGTAGAATGGCATGATCAGGTCTTTTTTGAACAAGATTGGCTGTCCCTAGTCTGTACTTTTTAGAGCTTCATGGAGATATATTGGCGTGTTATCACTAGAGGAATTTTTGTAATTTAAAATATGGGGCGGTTTTGGTTTTTAACTTAGAACAGGAGTATATGGAATGGTAAATATACTTATTCTAGGACTTACATGTATGGTGACATCTGTGTCTCATGTCTCTTTCTTTTTTTGGTAGTGTTTCCTAAGCTTATAGAGAAACCATCCAATGTGTCTGTTGTGGCAGGCAAAACATTTGAACTGCACTGCCAAGCTCAGGGTCAGCCTGAACCTGTTCTGTCATGGCAGAAGGATGGAGGGACAAGTTTTCCTGCTGCAGATGACAGAAGGATGGATTTTGTACCTGCAAGTAAAGTGTATGTGATCAGAAATGCTCAGCCTGGGGACACTGGAAAATACACCTGCAGTGCTAAGAATGAAGCTGGTTTTGTTAATGCCACAGCTTTTGTTACTGTGCTCGGTAAGGGAACTCCTATCATTTCCAGTGCTGAAGAGCTAATAATCTGTAATGACCACTTGGCATATAAGTAACGTTTCACAGAAAAGGTTACAATTGTTGCAGCAGGTTATGAAGCCAACGTACAGCTTTTTAACAGTCGCGATCATGAATGGCATGCTCAGGAGTCCTTTGATTTAGTGTAATAAAATATTTTAAGAATACATGGTAATACATTAAAGCTTATAAAGAATGCATTCATGCCTCAATTGAAGCTGTTTAGATAGAAGCAAAAACAGAATTCACTTGCCCGACTTCAAAATCTACCAGCCCTGGACTATCGGACATGACTTCCTTTGCATGTTGAACAGCTATGAACGTCAAATTTCCTCCTCAAAACACCAGTTCAAAGTCGGACCTACAGGTCAGAATAATCCAATAAGACGATAACCTTATCTTCACTGAGACTTAAAGAAACGTGTTTTATTACATCTAGAACCACCGCATTTCGTGCGTCCCATGAGGAGTGAAGTTGTGGTGTCCATTGGTGATAGTGTTGTGTTGCAGTGTGTGGCCAGCGGTGCTCCGATGCCTTCCATTCTTTGGATCAAAGATGGTAATATAGTTGTAAAAAGCAGTCATGTTGTGTTTGCCGAGGCAGGACAGTTCCTGGTGATCGCTGAGGCAAAGGAAGAAGACAGGGGGGATTATGCTTGTGAAGCTACAAACTCCCAAGGAACTGTTAGACAAAGAACGCAGCTGTTTGTAGAAACAGGTATGTGGTTGATTCTTCATCGCCAAATCGCCATGTTGGCCATGTTGAATCCCATGCAAGCGAAGTCTGTAGCCATTCAAATTATTTTATAATATAGCTCACGTGCTAGTCCAACCTAATTCCTATTGAGCCATCATGAACGAAATCGCCGTGCGTATATAACATGACGTGTGCAGTTTCAATTTAGCTGCGAGTTCCTTTTGTGATCAATAGACTATCTTTTTCTTCCACTGAAACGTGGACAAAACAAAACGGAAAACCGTTTACAGAAAGAAACGTTACTGACAATCATTTGTGCTAACTTATCTGCTACCCTTTGAATCCTTCTGTGATCTTTTATGCGCTATCTATTTTTAAAAAGCTTCTGTGTTAATTATTAAATTAATTATTATTTTAACAGATTAATAATAAACGCAATAACGTCTTTGAAAAGTGGGCGGGACCGGGATTTCAATGCAAAAACAGGCGGGATGGCGGGATTAACAGGAAAAAATGTGCGGGGAAGAGGGATCTGAGAACCCTGTTGTGGACCTTGGCTAGTTCCTAGGCCTCATATTTCGCCGCAGTCAATCGTTTCGGGTCAGTGGTCTGGGGCGAAAAGTGTGGCGTAGACAAAAACCCAAAAATTGAGACAGTTCGTCTCAATTTTTCACTGAGCCGCTTTTGTGCGATCGTGACTAAAACACCACACGAGTACAAATTAATTTTGTCGTGTGATCGGGTCATGTGCACACACACGCGAGCGAGCCCAAGTGCAATGAAATAAAATGAATTTTCTTAATAGCAAACAACTGAATTATCGTGTCATAATTTTGTGAGGCAGACAACTGTAACCAAACAAACTTCTTCCTTCTTATATTTTAGTGGCACAGACACCATCTCCTCGAAGCATAAAACTGTACTTTGGACTGTTCTTTGGTCTTTCCCACATAATTAGATACTCTCGAAGCGTAAACAGTCAACTGTCACCTTATTTTTTAAACTATTTCTCTCATCTGTCTCGCCCGGCTCTCGATGTCCGACTCTCGAATCACAATGAGAGAGGATGATCAGGAAATACTCGTAGTCTGCCCGTTTATTAATTTTGATTGATTATTTTACCTTTTATTACCGTATGTATCGTCGCATCACATCATTACATCAGCGCTCAGGTCTGTTTGTGTGGGTGTTGCAGAGGCGCATGTGTGTGGTAAGCGCGCGTGTCTGGCACTTGTGGGTGCTCGTGTGTGTGTGTGTGTACAAGATAAAAATGAAATGTAAAGAGAAAAATGGTACATTTCATGTTAATTACCCTCCTGCCATCATATGTTGCTCCTATGTACTCGTATGTTACTCGTATGTACTCGCATGTTACTTGTATGTACTCGTATATTAATCGTATGTTACTCGTATGTTAATCGCATGTACTCTTATGTTACTCGTATGCACTCGTTGGTACTCATATGTTACTCGTATGTATTCGTGTGGTGTTTTAGTCACGATTATTTCTTGCCGCAGAAGAGAATTCTCTGGGCATTTCTGGGACGGTGATGTTTACTGGTCTAGTTAAACGTCTCATTTGGATCTAAACGGACATTTATCGAGTCAGAAGCATGACCGCTTTCAAACCACAGGCAAATACTGATTACTCAAATTATACGTTGAACTCACTATCTGTTTTCTGATTGGTCGAAAGCGTACAGTGAAATTTCGAAATCAGCGCCTGTGACGTTATCTCTGCAGATTATATAGTAATCATGTCAAGGACACTCAAAGTCACGGGTAATCATGTCAAGTTCGCGTGCTTTGTGTTGCTTGCCTTCAGTGGTGAATCAAAAACATGACTTCTATTTTTTTCGTTCAATGTATAATAAAACAATTATTAGATTCGGTTTATGTGATATCCACAATAATCAAGGTCTCTGTAAGGGTTATCAACCTCAACCTTGGGCTTGGGCTGATAACCCCTACCTCGACCTTGATTATTCTGGATGTCACAAAAACCTCATCCAACAATTGCTTATTATTATTCATTGAACTCACTATCTCTTTTCTGATTGGCCGAAAGCGTACAGTGAATGTTCGAATCACCACCTTTGACGTCATCAAGCTGCAGATTGTACAATCATCATGTCAAGGACACTCAAGGTCACGGGTAATCATGTCATGTATGACCGCGGTGCATGATTTCTAAGGGTAATCATGTCAAGTTCGCGCGCTTTGTGTTGCTTGCCGTTATAGTGAAGAAGCAAAAGCATGACTTCCATTTTTTTTTTCGTTCAATGTGTAATAAAACAATTATTGGATTCGGTTTATGTGATATCCAGAATAATCAAGGTCTCGGTAAGGGTTATCAGCCTCAGCCTTGGGCTTCTGCTGATAATCCCTACCTCGACCTTGATCATTCTGGATATCACAAAAACCTCATCCAGTAATTGTTTAATATTGAAGCCTTTGAAGGTTTCTATTACATATAACCGTAGCGCTTGATCAAAGAAAAACAATAATATACCAAACTTCTTCAATTTCGGGTTCAAGAGTAAGCTAGAGTAGCTTTCTAGTTCGACCGCTATGCAATAAAAAGAATTCGCTCGCAGCGCTGTCTTATAACCAACAAGTTTTATAACCAACAAGTGCGAAGTTAGAGCGGTTTTCATTTTAGTATCGAAAGTAATTAGACAGTTACTTTGGTTTGCGGTTTGAGATTGGCTGAGTAGTCTAATTGGTAAGTAATTGGTTTGGTTTTGGTTTTACGACACTCAATTGAAAACCGCTCTAACTTAGCCTTGCATTTAATTTCTATTCGTACATCTCTGGACGAACCACTTAACCACAGGCCTATTTTACTAAACAACAACGTAATACAGCAATCTTTTCTAGAATTCTCTTTAATATACATGTAACGAGATAAAAAGAACACGTCAAATCGTCCTGGCCTTGGACTTTGCACTCATATCACGAGGCAGCGACGCAAATTATTATTTCATCACGACAAGCGCTATTAGAACTGAACTCCGTGAAACACACAGATATTTCGACAGATTTCTAATGTCAAATTCGTACAGAAGCCAAATATTCTTCCAGTTTTCGGTTCAGAAGAGTCGGAACTATTAAAACATTCCGTAGCATTAGAAACTTGATAAAATTGGTTGCTTAGGCTTCCAGTTGAGGTGCATGTCAAATAAAAAAGTTTGTATGAGAAGCATATTAATAGTGCTAACCGTAAGTTCTAAGGAAATTGTTCTTCTGTACCAAACTGCAGCAAACTTGCTAAAAGGTACAGTTTCCCATTCCTATGAGTTGCAACAATTAGCATCTTCTCCGATTGAGTTATTTCGGATGAGAATGTTTGAAGTTGTCTGAACAGCAAAGTCGATCGAGTTAATGAGCCCCTTCGGCTTCCTGTTGTACGTAAAAATTTGCGATTGAAATCCCTGAAGCTTAGCAAAATTAACAACAAGCACTGCTGCTGATCCAAACGCATGCGCATTCGTCTAGGCTACTCCGTGCCGTTCGTCTGGGATACGTCACCGAAATCAATTGAACGCGAAGGCCTGGGAGAAAGCCGTTCGGCAATGTGAAAATTATTCCGAAGAATCCAAACCTTTGACTTGTGCTTTTGTTTGTCTACATTTTCATTAAGTATTTTTGACTTTGTTTGCCTACATTTTCATCAAAATCATAAAAATTACAATTTCCTAAATTGTGATTGGTTTAGAATCTCCTATTTTCTTCTAATTCACTTGCCAAGTTGTTATCGGACAAATCAATAAGCCAATCACATTCAAAGTTTTAGTTTAAATTAACCAATCACATTCAACGTTGTAGTTTTATTTCAGTGCGACATTAAACAGTTTACGCCTCCTTTGTCAGTCTGTTAATGCAAATTTTCCCTTTCTTTCATAACTTGGCTATTCTTCTTTTCTCGGAAATTGTAATTTTTATGATTAATTGGTATTAAAACTTCATGTCGTCCAATTCGGTCTGTAATCATACTCGTGATAAACAAATCAGACTCCCGCTGCGCGGTCGTCCGATTTTGTTATCACTCGTATGATTACAGACCGAATTGGACTCCACTCAGTCCTGTTACCATTACTAATTAATTTGAAGAAGTGAATTTTTCATTGACAGTTTTAGAAACTAGGTTAAGCGTTTCAATCACGAATAAAACACGTTTTAGCACGCAAGTTGCTGTCGCCATGTTATAAAAGAATTGGTTGATGCTGTTAGCTGTGGGTATGTGTAGTTATGGATGCACTTGGGAAGTTCGTAGAGCACTCAAGAAGCTAGAGTTGGTCTCGGCGCCTCGAGCAACTCTTACGCGTCTTCCGTACTCTCCAAACTTCCCGCTTGCATCAATAACTCGATATACGCACGCTAAGCATGAACCAATTCATTATAACAGCTGAAGTTGTCTTCGTGTCACTTTGCTTCAGAAGATCGCAGTTATTCTTTTTGCTTCCGTTTTTGGTCCATTTATTGAAATTTGACTCGTGTCCAAGCAGTGGCGCGCCTTGTATCACTCAGCGGTCAAACTGGCGAAGCTTGTGCAGTTTCCCGCGTAAACTGCCGCCGTTTTGAAGTCAAAACACTGGACTGACAAACTAATAGTATCTTTGTACGCAATGTGTCTAGGTAATTTTATTATGCCTTGTATGTCTTGGTATAATAATTTATTTCTTATAAACTCTGGTATATGTACTAATGACGCTTCAAACTCATTCACTGTGAAGAGGAAGCAACGCCTGACTTACACACAGCATGCAAAGCAAACTTGGGTTATACACCAAAAACGTCTGTTTCTTCAAAGACTTTTATGACACTTTTTGATATTTTGTTATAATTTCAACCCCCGCGCGTTTTTGTTTAGCGGTAACGCCTCGCGGCCCCTGGAACGAGATGGCCCTCACTAAACCTTGTTATGAGGAGTTGTTTCTGAAGATTTAGTAAGTACTGTTTTTTTTTTTATTTCAGAGAAAAGCACTGACGTTTCTGTAACGGAAAAGGCGAACAAATCGAAATACGTGAAATACGACAAGAAGACATTCCTGGGAATCATTGTTGTTGTTGTGGTGTCGTGTATTGTGGTAACCTCAATGGTTTGGCTATTTATTCATTACAATACAGTCTCGTGCGGAAAAAAGAAGTCTCCAAAACGGCGTCCTCAACACGTGTCACATTTTGAAGGGGAATGTTTGGATGACTCGAATGCCAAGGCTTTCCAACATGAAGGCATTAGCTACATTCCTTTGAAGTCATCGAGTTCAAGTAGCACACAAAATAGTCGCGAATCGCCGAGATCAACGGCAACCTTCCTGACGTCTTCCGAGTCTGCGCAAGGACCGTGTATGAACCTCGCGTCAAGTTCGGAAAACGCTTCGGGTTCTGAAGAGAAATCGTCCACAGTGGAAAACATCTCCTCAGAAAACTCCTTTAAAGGCAGCCATAGTTCTTTGACATCTTCTTGTCAATCAGATGCATGTCTTCCCAGTTATCAGCAGGTTGTGACTTCAGCGCAAATTCATGTTTCTGATAGTGACTCTGAGAAACAGAGACCGACTACAGCTGGGTCTAGAAGGAAAAAATCTCAAACCGAAGATCCAGGTGGAGGCCTTGGCCAACTCAAACTAGACATTTCTAAAAGTACTAATTGCCACAAAGAGACTTCGTTACCTCAGAGACCATTGCCAACAAATGGCGACAGCGAGGCTTCTCCAGTTGATGTGAATAAGGACGTTTCCGTGACAATTTATCAGCTCACAAGCACGGACACCTCTTGCGTGACGGATGGTGTAAACTGTTCATCGACAGAAACATAGTATTCTTTGTCTTTACATATATGTATATACCTATGTGTGCAGCAGCGCAGAAGTCGCGCGGAAGCCACTCGATGAAGTTCTCTACGTTTGTTTACGATATTCGCAGACGCTCATTTCTACACTTGACTTATTCATTGACTAAGCAAATTCATAGAAAGCTTCATTGCTTGGTAATGGTGCGACGGATTGTATTCAAGATGTACACTGCTAAAGGAGTCTAGGGTCTTTTACGCGTGGTTCTTGTATCACGATATTTTTCGTCATTAGAAAGCAACATGCTACGACTAGAGCCGACTTCTTTTGCAGACTGTTGGGAGTTAAATTTTAACTGAAAAGACTAGAAGACGACTTCGATTGGAGTTTGAGTAAGGATTTAACATGTCATTGCAAAATGGATGTAGTAATATAATATATTGTGCATTTTGTATATAGGAAACTCAATTTTTTATTCCTACGACAGATATTTACACTTTCTATTTGATACTCATCATCTAGATAAGTGTTTTGTGGAAATGAAATTTACCACATTAACAAAGATGGCAAGGAAAATTTCGTACAAAGTACTCCTTTTCCACTGAGGACACTCGAACCATGTACCTTTTGGTATTTTTTGCCCTTTTTTTCAGTGACTGCAACATGAGGGATCTTCATGGTATGTTAATACAGTAGTAGCACTTTTACACTGCAATTTTACATCAATGAAGAGCCCTCATTCTATAGTCCTCCGAAAAATGTATAAAAAATGTCAAGTGTTCATACTGCTAGTGTTCCAAGGTAGTTTTTGTCATTTGGAACTCGAAACCTTTGGTGATGCATAGAACTTATGAGTACTTTTACTCATGAAATCATCAACTTGTTTTGCAGCTATCACTATACACCCTTTTAGCTTGTGTGGTTTGTTTCCCCATTACAGACCACGTGATATTTTCAAGAGAATTTTTCTTTCATCCATCTAAAAATTATTCCTTTATATACGCACGACTTTTTGAAAATTTGAGAGGAAGAATTCTCAAGAGTATCATCACATGGTCTGGAATGGGGCAACAAACCACCCAAGCTTAAAGGGTCTATTGCCGGCGTTACAGCTGAGGTAGAATAGCGTGTCTTGACAGTATGTAAACGAAGCTAATGGGTCAGTTCAGTTCTAAATACCTAATTCGTTTCGTTTCACTTGTTAACTCCCTGACAGTTGCAATAGCAGGCTTAAAAAATTTAAATTATTAGGGAATTGGCAGTAGTATCAAAGCATCGCTGTGGCTTTCCGAAGTCTTAGTCATTTCAATTTGATAGAAATAAGTCCATTTGTATCCTCCCAAATACTAAGATTTAAAGCTCTGATTAAATTAGTTTGCTAGGTAGTTTATTGACTTACAGTACCATTCATCGCTTTATCAACTTATCAAAATTGTTCATTGTGACGCAGAAATCTAGACGTAGAAGAAGTTTCTTAAATGTCATGAACCTGAATTTACTAGAAAGAAAGGAGAGCATAGTTGGCTAACGGTATCGAATAGTCTGGTAAACCGCGCTCTCTGTCAATCCAAAAGTAGACTTAACTCTCATGGATTTAGGAATGGGTGGGGGGGATAGTAGTCACAACTGAGTGGTCTGAGTGTTAGGAAGCTACATGACCATGAGTCGTATACTATAAATGACTGGTTTACTAGAAGGAAGACCATTTGCGTGATGGGCTTTGTTATACACTTGAAGATGCCATGGAAAACAGTGCTGTGGAATACTCCATGGGGTTTACAGACGTTTGGCTTTAGATTACCATCAGCTAAGCGCCTCTTTCTCGTTCATTTTAGATTACTTCATGTCTACTCAGAAAAAAAAAAAAAAACACTTTCTATTTTCTCAGACAAGTTTTCCATGTCTTAATATTTATAAGGTGTGATTGTCACTGTTTTAATACTCTGACTCGGGTACATGACACTTAGCGCAAGTTGCCTGTGGTAAAGATTTCGTGACGTGTATTTCTGAAGTGCACATTGCGCATTTCTTTGACTTAAACTGACTTAAGTGTTGGTGTATGTTAACCTCGGACAGACCAGGAGTAGATCCTGGTACGAGCTTGGACGAAAACTTTATTTATTGCAGCAAGAAGCGTCTGGTTGTATAGATTTACTTCCATACTTTACAAATATACAAAGCTGTATTATGAATAAAATGAAAGGAAAAGTATAGTACAATAAAAGAAAAACCAAAATAGAAGTAAGTTGTTGCAGTTGGTTTAGGTGATGGGAGTCGCCATTTTGTAAAACGACACCGAAAAGGCCATTTGGACGAAAGTGACCCGGCAAGAAATCAATTTTCTCCTTCCTGGAATTTTTTAGTTGTTTAATAGAGGCTTTTCTTTAACTTGGCTGAGAAAATTCTAGAGAGGTGGTTATGGAGATTGTCATTGTTGCGTCACACGAATGCATTTGGAACAATCTTCAGATGATGGGGAGGGCATCAGTTAAGAATGCCGCGTCACACCCTTGGCTTGCGGAGGTTCATCAATAAGGCAATACACTTGAAGTTCACTGGAAGAGGCAGGTTGATCTGCGCAAGACGTAAAAAAGATACCGCACGGCCAAAACCGGTCGGACAATTCACAGCAAGGCTGTGTTAACAAAAAGTTGGAAGGCATCTAAATCCGAAAATTTGAATCAGTGTCAACAGATAAAGAACGGTTTAAAATGGTTTTAAGAAACTCACATTATTGAGGGATCTTTTGTAAAAAAAAAATCTAAGTCAACGCGTCGGCTTGTTATGAGCGGATGAGTGCATGAGTGAGTGAGAGATAGTCTAGAGATGTATGTAGGTCACACCAATCAGATTGGGGCTACTATTCTCACTGCATAATAAATTAGCTCATTGCCTATCACATTCCCCATTTTCGCCCATGCTGGTAGCGTCGGTAATGCTTTTCGCCATTTGGAGTTTACATTTGGTCGTTCCGCTTGAAGCGTGGTCTTTTCGTCCTGTACTCCACAGAGACAGTCATCTTTTGCGACCCACCCACCTCCCTTGATGGGAGGGTGGCAAAGGGTTTTAGCGTGACGCGTGATCGCCCCCAAATTAGCAGCGTGATGCGTGATTGGGACCAAACTAGCCGCGTGACGCGGAACAGGACATAACGTAATGCGCGATTTGCTATTTTACAAGCACGGGATGCGTGATTTACGAATGAGATTTCCGTGATAAGTGAACGTCCTTAGAACTAGGATAGCATTCATTCAGAGTAAATAGTCTTAAAAAGGATCATCAAATCGTGGCAGAAGTGACACCAATTTCTGTTCTTTTTCGTCCTTTTCTTGACCTCTGATGTCTTTGATCTTCGTGGACCTTCATGGTCCTATAGGTCCAAACAATGACTATAAGCTTCAGTGTTATTTCTTTCCATTTTGTCGTCCGATCATTTGTGAAGGGTCTGAACGAATTTCGTCCAAAAGGGATGAAACGATAACACACTTTAGAGTTTGGTGTCATTTTATACCGCTCGAGAGGACCGTTGTGTAAGCAACGAGAGACTACACAAGGAAAATGTTTGTGTGCCACTTAATAAAGGTCGTCATCAAGACCTACCTGAACTCAAAAGCCACGTTATATCCTATTGCCTGTATATTAGAGCGTGGCAAAGGTGACGTAAACGTCTTCTCAATTCGTATACAACATCTCTGCCAACTTAGCCTGTGAACAGGCTCCCGATTGTGTTATAGGGGAAGGAAAAACAGGCGGGCAGAGAAAGCCGAGGGTGGTCTGGAGAGGGAAAAATCCCACCCCGCCAGGCTCGCTTCGCTCGCCCTATTTTATTTTTTTGGCGCTCGTCGGGAGCCTGTTCACTTACAGACGATGAAAACTCTGCCAGATTATATCCAGGAACCTCATGGATACAAGCTGATACAGACCGAATCTCCCGGTCTCCCCTACGGATTACCACCTTTATTTTCGGGGGGAAATTATTGGAATAATTGACAAATGGTGTCAAAAGCTTTAGCTAAGTCGAGAAAAACAATAGATGTGATAAGGCCATTGTCGATGTCGAAGTACCATTGATTGGTAGCGTCAAGCAAAGCTGTAGCGGTTGAATGTAACACCGAAAGCCTGATTGATATTTGTTTAGAAAACATTCCTAAGAAAATACGCGCGCTGATTGGTTAAAGGTCGTGTTTCTATAACTCGTTATAGTTCACCACTAAATTTTTTCCGATTGTTATTGGTTTAAATTGATCACGTGACGCGATAGTGTTCATCCGCGGAGAGACACTATCAGGCCATAGTGCCCGTCCCAGGAAAATACCCGGATGGATAGTACTCGTCCATGAACATTTTTTTTTGTATACAAGCGAGCTTATAGAAAATAAACAATTGAAATTGTATTAAATGGGTTTTAGTCTTTTTTTTTCAAATTTTAAATTTGGCTTTCACGGCTTTCCTCTAAATAAGTTGAAAATAATGTAATATAATTTTTGAACTGGCCCGTGGAAGATAATTTAGTGGCTAACAATAAAGACAATAGATTGTTTATGTCTCGGAACTATCGGTCTGATAGTTGCCCCTTGGAAATTGGATGTTCTTAAAACTAGCATATTTGCCCTCGAAGCTTTGCTTCTCGGGTAAGTATTTGTTTTAAGAACATCAAATTTCCGCGGGGGCAACTATCACGCATAGAAATCGAGAGCGAATAATCTAACTGTTTTAGTATAAATCTACTAGTCGTTCAAACCTTTATCTAAATCCTCCTCACAGACACTGAGAAAACGCCAAGAAATGGCCGTCATTTTGTTAACAAGGGCACATTGCTACGCTACTCACTATTTAACAATTAGATTATGAGCTCGAGATTTCTTTGATGAGGCCGAAGGCCGAATCAACTATCACCTCATAGAAATCGAGAGCGAATAATCTAATTGTTTTAGTAGAATTCTAACTGTAATTAACGCAAATAACGGTTTCCAATTATTTTTCTCCGCATTATTGACCTTCAGGCTTTAACAAAATCGCACGTATTGAATTGTCCTTGGTAATTTTGCAGTTGTTTACGCGCGCGCACCCGGTTTTTCAATAATTTCAAGTCAAGAAACCGTCACTTTCCTTTTTTCAGTCGTCTCAGGAATTTAATTATCTATTTACATCTAAACTTTCTTCCAAAACTTCGGAAAAACGATAAAAAAGTCGCATTTCGTGGACGATCGACAGCTACTGCACTCTAATGGCTGATAGTGTACGAGTAGCTTAGTCAATCAGATTGCAGCATTTGCATTAGTATACAAGTAGAATTCTACTAAAACTGGATAGAAACACGGAACATGTTTTCTATTTCTTAATTAGCAATTTGTTATCCGAACGGTATAAACAGAGTTGGTTGCAAACAAGCCTTTCCATAATTTTAGAAATAGAAGATAGAATGGAAATTGGACGATAATTGTTAGGATTTGTGTTACTGTTGCTCTTGTGGAGTGGAAAAACCTTCGCAATTTTTCAATCACTAGGAATATAACCACTAGCGATAGCATTGTTAGTAAACAAAGGGGCTCGGCAATAATATTCGCTGCGACCTTGAGTAATTTGTTTGGAATTCGATCGAGACCGGCAGATTTATTAGTGACCGTTTAATTTAGCTCTGTCTCTCCTGACAGTAAGTGCCGTGATGTCACGAGTGAGCCAAGGAGAAGCCTTCTGACGAACTCGCTTTGTTTTTGGCGGAGCGTGTTGGTCAGCTACAGAAAGAAACATTTTTTTTCCAGGTATTCCACAAATTTTCAGGATCATCGTAATGTTTCAGAGTTTCCTAAGGGAGCTTGGCTAAACCATTACGGAATGTTACGCCGCAAAATGTCATAATCGCCGCAAAATTTAAGGCTAACGCAAAATGTATTAACATCAACGCAAAATGTAATAAAGTTATCAACGCGAAATGTAATAACTTTCCAACGCAAATTGTAACAACTTTTTTAACGCAAAATGTAATAACTCAAATTGTAATAACTCC